TGTGTAAATAATAAAGCACATTGTTTTTTGCTAATAGGAATAAAATGCAAGTATCAATAAAAATAAGGTTAAAATTTCTTTAATTAAACTTTTAAACCATATTTCATAGAAATAGAACTCTGAATTATGATGGTATTATCGTAATAAACACTATACAAGAGAAAGTAGCAGAGGAAGTAAAATGTTAACTTTATAGGAATTAAAAAGTCTTGAGATTTGACATTTCAACGTTTGTTTGGAAAGTAATAATGACAATGTGACAGTCGTGACGTCACACTCCTGCGGTCTATTATTACTGCCTGAGGCCAAAGATCAGGAAATTTATGTTTTAGAAAACAAATATTAAATAAATTTAGTAAAACTAGTTTAGCTGTAAGTCACAATTTCTATAAATATTGGTGATATGTCATCTGGTTCAGCCGAGGCGTTTTTTAAATTATAAATAGCAAATTCTAATTTTTGAAGAGTTATAGCGATGTTTAAAGGATCATTGTTAATGTTTAAGGTGATAATAGAGGATTCAATAGTTTCCTTGTGTGTTAATATTTTCTGGGGTATATCATTATTGCTAGAATTTTGTTGATATATATATATATATATATATATATATATATATATATATATATTGTTATGGTAAGTAGAATCTATATTTATCAATTATTCAATTAATTGTTACCAAAAAAACAACACTTACCAACAAATCGTCAATTTATTATCAGGATCGTGCTTCAAATATCGATCTCGTTGTATTTTAGGTAAGAGGACAAAAAGGAAAGAAATAAAATAATATACAAATATTCAATCTATAAAAAAATCAGATTATATTTACCAAATTTAAAAAAAAAATATTAATTAACATTTATCCATGCAAACCCTTTATGAAAAACAATACTATTATACTAAATTTTAAGTCCTTCGATTATTTAAATATAAACCCAGCAAATGTTCCTGACAATAAAAAAAAATCAAAAGTCAATTAAGTCCCTCTTGCAAGATTTCACTTCGCCACGGCAATTTTTAAATAAAAAAACAAACTTACAGTTCTGGTAAGATTCTTTTTCAGGGCTCTCGAAACACCTCTATATAGCCCACCAGGAAAACAAAACCACGAAAACTACCCTTTGGCAATTTTAAATTCTAACTTTCTCAGCTCCAGCAAATAAAACAAAAATTCACCATTCCACTGACTCTTCACTGCATCAACCCTTCTACCACCAGCACCGACGAAACTCTCAAAAACAGCCGTTCTTCCTTCGGAAATTCTCCAGAGACTGACTTTTCTCTCAATTTTTCTATCCTCCGCAAAATGTCAAAACTGTCACTTTTTATCCAAAAATTGCTTTCATTTTTTATAAGCCCACTAATTTACATATCTTATATTTAATGACAGAAATAATTTTATACATTTTCTTAAGTAAACAATATATATATATATATATATATATATATATATATATATATATATATATATATATATATGTATATATATATATATATATATATATATATATATATATGTATATATATATATATATGTATATATATATATATATATATATATATATATATATATATATATTTATATATATATCAGGAAATGTTTCCTGATAATAACTTTGCTACAAGTACCTAAATAGGGTTTGACCTTGAAATAAGGAGTTTATTTGTCTTAAAGAGTTGGAACCTTTGAGTTTACGAATTTTAGATCAAATGACAGTTGAAAGGGTCGATGAGTTTATAATTTTCCCATGTATTTCTTTTACTTCTTTTATGAGATATCTCGATCTTGCTCTGGGTTTTTTAAAATTAAGTAAATTTTCTTTCGTATTATGCTTTTTAAGTTTATTAAACGCACGTTTTGTTATAGATAAAGCTAGTGCGATTTCGCTGGTCCACCAAGGCACTGGTTGTCCATTGCAGAGTTTAGTTTTACCGATATTAGTAGTTAAGGCAGCATGTGTTATATTATTTAAGGACCTTATGTCAGATTTTATGTCACTGCTTAATTGGAAATTTTCAATTTTCTTTTCGATGTCGGTCTGATAGGAGTTCCAGTTTCATTCTTTAATTTCCAAGATTGATATGTTGGAAATTTACGAGATTAAGATTTTTTAAGTGTTATAAATGGGAAAATGATCACTGTCAGGTAGTGATTCTAAAGTATTCCATAAGTTGATGATTGCCTAATGATTTTCCATTATTAAGTAGTATTAAATCTGAGGAATCAATAAAATGATTCATTAAATTACCGAATTTGTCAGTTTTATGACTTCCCCATGCCGGATGATGGCAATTCATAAAATTATTTTTGGGTTTGAAATTTGATCTATAAGATTTCTAAATTCTTGTAAATCTAGATCGCTGGTTCGGGTCAGATATATATTGCAAATGTTAATATGTTTTTGGTAAGTAACAGCTTGACTGGGAGGAAAAAGGTCTAAACATTGATGGTGTACGTTTGAGTCATTTGAGGTTTGCGGATGACATAGTATTATTTAGTACAGATATCAAGGAACTGGAGCAAATGTTGAAGGAATTAAACCATTAGTCAAATAAAATAGGTGTCAAAATGAACCTTCAGAAAACAAAAATAATGAGTAATTTACAAACTAATCTTGTTTCGGCAAAGAAAATCAAATAGCCGAAATAAAAAGACGCATACAACTGTCTTGGGGAGCTTTCGGCAAATTAAGCTTTATTTTGAAGAATAAAGATATACCAATGTGTCTAAAACGTAGAGTTTATGACAAATGTATCTTGCCTGTAACTACATATGGACTGGAGACCATGGCCTTCACAAAGAAAACCTTAGAGCAGCTCAGTACAACCCAAAGAGCAATGGAGAGGGCCATGCTAGGGATTAGTCTGAGAGACAGGATTCGAAATAACGTCATTCGTGAAAGAACAAAAATTACTGATGTCTCAGAACGTACTGCAAGGCAATGGGTCGGACACGTTGCCCGAGATAATCCCGAAAAATGGACACAAAGATTAACAAACTGGAGACCAAGAGAGAACAGGCGAGGAGTAGGCAGACCGCAGAAGAGGTGGACAGACGATATCAAACAAGTCGCGGGCAAGCAGTGGATGAGAATTGCCAAAAGTAGAAATCGATGGAAGCAAATGAAAGAGGCCTATGTCCAGCAGTGGACGAACACAGGCTGAAGAAGAAGAAGTAACTGTTACAGCTACAGCTTCAAAACTAGTACTTGAAGCAATTGGTTTAGCTTGTATATTTGTTCTAGTGAAGATAGCTACTCCGCCACTGGCTTGGTGTGCGTTTCTATTTTTTTTTTTTTTAATTGACAATTTCAGGAATTTATATTGGTATTTTTAAAATGGGTCTCTTGAAGACAAAGTATTTTAGAAGATTTATTATAAGTTTTAATTGTTCAATATGGATGTAAAACCCATTAAGGTTCCACTGCAGAATAAAAAAATCTGACATTAGATTTTCTACACTAAACATCTAAACATCTTTCTAAACATCTTCAATTGAAGATGTTTTATTGGGATTTAGTTGGGTAATGTTGTTTTTTAGTTTTGAATTGTGGATATAACATTGGACAAAGTTAGGAATATCGATTAGTTCAGTAGGTTGAATGCGGGCGATCTGTTCTCTATGTTATCTTTAATTGATTCCAGAGAAAGAGTGAGTTCTTGGAGAAAAGTTTTATTGGATTTTTTGGATTTTTTTTAGGTTTGTTTGAAGTAGGAGGCATAAAAAGTTATGTGTTATTTTGAGCATTGTTTTCAATAATGTCTGAAGAGGACGATATTTGTCTTTTAACTTGATTGGTTTTACTGGAAATGTAGAAGGTGTGGATGTTTTCTCTGCTAAATGTTTGGTTAAATTGTTTGAGACTGATGATCTATTGGGAAAAGGTCTGTAACGATAAGACTTCCAAAGAGAATTGAAGTACTATTGTAAAAATAATACCTCAATCTACCATGATAGATGCTACTAGAATAGAGTCGGATTCCATTATTAAATTTGTTTGCTCATTAGATTCCTGAACTGTTGTTCTAGGTTGGATAGGTGCTAGGGAAGGATTTAATGGGGTGATACCAGTTATGTAAGGATATTCTGCTTCTTTGTGACCAGTATTCTGTTTCTGGCATACCTATTCTTAAGACACAGCAATGATACCCATCTTTTGTAGTTCTGCTTCTATAATGTTGTTAGGAATTGTAGAGCATGCATTAGATACTATGAGTATATCGGCTGGAGTGATAAATCTTCTTATTTCTATTTGTGGAGTGGAGAAGTGAGTAAACCGTGCTTTTTAAGGAAAGATAAATACAAATTCGGTTATTAGAAATTCTTGATGCGAAGATGACATTACGTGGTCCTACTAGTGATTCTACAGCTATGATGTCGTGAATTTTGGTATCTTCCATACTAGACAGGACAATAGCCTGTTCTTTTGTTGGGTGTTTAAAAGAATTTACTTCACTGGAATATGAGTTTAAAGATAAGCTTTGTGTTTGATTTTTGTTGATTGAAATTGAGTGTTATTTAAAGTAATATCGTTTGAAGTCATGATATTTTAAGATGCCGCAAGTCCGGCCCTATCGCCAGTTCGAAAACTGGTCGTCGTTCCGGGTCCAGACCCAAACTTGTTTGATTTTTCTGTATTTTGCAGTTTATATTTCTGATCATATTATTTATAATAATGTTATTTCAAATACTCACGTCAGTCTATATTGGTAAGCACTAGTGTAGCACTATAACTTTATGCACAGATGAAATATCAGTTTTTGAAAAATAATTTACCATTCAAAATAATTTTATTTTTGGACGGCTTTAAACGTGGTATATTGTACTTTAGTCAGGACCGTACTTTGTTTTATTTATTTAAGATGCTTTTGACTATATAAAATAAAATATAATAACATAAAATATAATAAAATAAAGGCAAAAACCAATAAAAACAAACAAATAACTATTGACAGCAGTATTTGTAACTGTAAATTTAACATTCGGTTTTTATTTATAGGTTTGTTGCATACAAAATACCTATCCAAAGTGGTCATGGAGATATAATTAAGGCTGGTCTTGGACATATTTATTTAACATCTAATAATTCATCTTCATGGATACTTTCTAAACATTCAATTGGAGATAATAGTTCCCTCATTGGAAACACTCTTCACGACTTTTATCACAATAGAGTAAGTAATTAATTGGTTGATCAAGACCTTATAAATATTACAGATGGATATTTTTAAAGAAAAACACATATGAAGGATCCACGGGCAAAACGTGTTTAAATGAATGAAATGAGGTTGAATGCTCGAATAAATGAACTTTGAAAATATTATAATCTCATTATCCCTCCAGATACTGACAGAGAATGTAGCGTAGAAGTAATTTTAAACTGTTTGTCCTCGTTTTAGTGTAGTGTTTTGTACAATTTTATGTTATTTTTATTGTTTCCACATTCTACGCTTGCCGGATAGTTCACACTTTGACGAAATGCCCCTGAATATGCTATTTTAAGCGAAAGTACTTGGGCTAGATTTAATTAACTTGTGCTCGATAATAGCCTTATTTTCAAAAAAACGTGTTTAGTCCATTTTTTGGAATTTTGTTTTATAACGCATTCTGGTAGCTCAATGCGAGTACTACGAACCTGTCTATATCACACGCAAACAACGTGTTCAGTCCTTCCTGTCACCGCGGGCGCCTTAGAGCCATTGATTGCATCAGTTCGCTATTGGTTGTCGTTGAGTGAGCATCAGTCAGTGTTAATTAGTAATTAACTATATAGGAACAATGGAAATTTACGGTAAACTTCTAAGAAAAAACATAGTTTTGGCAGACTAACTGATGTAAACAAAAGAATGTTAGCTAGTAGTCATGAAACAATTCCTGATTGTAACTGCTCAATGTTTGGTTGTTTTAAAATTATTCCGCACGATGATAGGAGTAGGATTATAAAAGATTTTAATCTATTAGGAAATTGGAATGAACAGTCATCATATCTAACCTCTCTTATTGCAGTAAAATTGGTTGTTCGTAGAATACCTAGACAATCCAAAAAGTAGAGACTGTTATGTTAGATATTTAGTAAGAGTGAAACGAGGCAATATTAGGCAGGAAGTTCCTGTTTGCAAGAAGGCTTTCATATCCTTACATGGTATTTCAATGCGTAGGCTAGATACAATACAAAATTCGATAAAAGAAAAAGGCTTGTCTCCTAGGGACCAAAGAGATCGCCATTTACATCGGCCCTCGAAGATTAAGTAATGAGCAACAACAGGCAGTCTATGACCATATAAACTCATTTAGAGGTATAAGAAGCCGTTATGGCCTCAACGATACCGAAAAAATTTACCTACCTGTAAACTCAGGGATACCCCTGAATAGATACTTGTTCAATATGTGACAAATACAATGCCGAAATTAAGAGTTTAAATCTTAAACTTACTGAAGTTAGTGACGATCAGAAACAAGTGATTGAGGGTGAAATTACTGCCCTTGAAAATGAAAATAAGTTATATAAATTAAAAGCAGTGACGTTTTATACAAGAAAAAGAAAGACAAGAAAACTATGTAAATCAGATCCTAACAAAGAATGTGTATGTATGGACTACCAGAAGAATTTACCAGTTCCAAACATTACATCTTTTAAACTTTTATTTTATAATATTTATTTTATAAATAAAAAAAATAAAAGTTTAAAGGTGCTGAAGAGATGTCAAGCTCTAGGTAAGAAGAACATTGTTAAGCTCGCAGATCGAAATGGAAAAGTGGTAACAGATAAAGATAAGATAATTAAGGTAGTTGAAGAATTTTACACAGAATTATATACAGAAAGGGGAAGAAAGACGGCACCAAGTTGAGAAAAGTCCAGAATGTGGGTTCAGAGGATATCCCAGAAATAACAATCGAAGAAGTCTTAAAGTCATTAAATAGAATGAAAAACAATAAAGTAGCTGGTGATGATCAAATCGTTATTGAGGCAGTTAAAGCAGGAGGAAAGACAGTATTGAAAGCATTGACGCAATTATATAACTTATGCCTTTCAAACGAGGTTACACCATCCCAGTGGAATAAAAGCTGTTATAGTAGTCATGCACAAAAAGGGAGATATAACAGAGCTAAAGAACTATAGACCTATTAGCTTGTTATCTCACGTTTATAAGTTGTTTATGAAGATAATAACTAATAGGTTGGCATCAAAACTAGACTTCTATCAACCTTGCGAGCAAGCAGGATTTAGAGCTGGATACGGAACAAATGATCATTTGCAAACCATTAAGCCGTTGATTGAAAAAACCATTGAATATAATAGACCCCTGATACTTGTCTTTGTCGACTTTGAAAAAGCATTTGATACGGTCAATCAAAGTGAAATGCTCCAAGCTCTAACACAATGTAGATCACCGATAGACACAATAGATCACCAATACATATCTCTCATCAGATACATCTATCAACATGCTACAGCCTGTGTAAGACTTAATGAAGATACTGGGACTTTTCGTATTGAAAGAGGCGTTCGGCAAGGAGACAACATGTCTCCTAAATTATTTACAACTTTGCTAGAATACGCTTGTAAAACAATAGATTGGAACGAAAAGGGCATCAATGTAGATGGAAAATTTTTAAATAACCTTAAATTTGCAGATGATATCGTTCTTATTGCAGACAGCTTTGATCAGGCACAGATAATGCTCCAAGAACTCCATACTGCCACAAAAAGAGTAGGTCTTAAAATTAATTTTTCAAAAACACAATTTATGACAAATTTAGTCCACAACAAAAACATCTCAGTAGAAGACAAAGATATTGAGCCAGTTGACTCCGATAAATACTTAGGCCATGAGATCAGAATAAGTCGAGACAACCAAACAATCGAGCTGAAAAGAAGAATAAACCTCGCTTGGGCTGCATTTGAAAGGATGAAGGATATTTTTAGGTCTAAGATTCCAATGTGTCTGAAAAGAAAAGTATTTAATCAATGTATTTTGCCAGTGATGACCTACGGCGCAGAAACCCTAACGCTCACGAGAACAACAGTGAGTAAACTACAAGTTGCGGAAAGAGCAATGGAGAGAATCATGTTAGGGATTTCTCTACGTGATAGAATACCCAATACTACTATACGCAAAAGATCAGGAGTAGCAGACGTTATTGAAAGGATAACAACACTAAAGTGGAACTGGGCAGGTCATGTAGCAAGATCAGTTGATGACCGGTGGACAAAAAGAATTTTGGAATGGAGACCCCGAATACAAGCTTATAGAAATAGAGGTCGACCCCCAACGAGATGGACAGATGACATAAAAAGAGTGACTACAAATTGGATTCAGATGGCGCAAAATCGGACTAAGTGGAAAAGCATGCGAGAGGCCTATGTTCAGCAGTGGACGTTAGAGGCTAGTTGATGATGAAACATTACATCAAATGATGTATATTATAAGCGACAGTTGTACTTTTATAATTTTAATACAATATTCTACACATACGCTGAAGATATATAAAATAAGATTGCAAATGAAGTCATAAGCTTTTCGAATCACTACATGAGTGAAGTTCTTAATCCGAATGTAAGAGATTTTGTGAGATCAAATATTTTGTAACTCATGTTCGGGACAGAATAAAAATTACCCTGTATTTCTGTTCCTGTATCACTAAGTTCATGACATTTTGACAGACTAAACAAAGTTTTAATAAGGTTTCCCATCAGAGGACATTCTTATCTGGAATGCGACAAAAATATTTCCTTGGTCAACAAGAAAGGCATAGTTGAGACCCCAAATGAATGGAATGACGTGTTTAGAGCAGCACGATCAAACCAAATCCCATTCAATATAATTCCAGTTCAGCAGGATATGATACGAGATTGGACCTCTTTTTTAAAAGCAAAATATAAGGACAAATGCCCATTTCCTACAAGACCAATTTGTGAGGCTAAAATAACAAAAGAAGTAACCAAATTTTTTCATAGAGACACTTACAATGGGCCTTGGATATCATCTGACGTTAAACGTAAAAATTGATGGACAACCTCTTCTGCAGTATGGAGAATTTTTCTACCCTGAACAGGCTTATCAAAGTACGTCTAAATAGTAGTGATCTTTTTCTTAGGGCCATCAAAGCAAAATTCAAACAAAATAGGTGATGTTTGTCGAAGTATGATGATTTACAAGTACTTAAACAATTCTGTGGGGATGCTGTAAGACAATATTTTACAAATCTCCCATATAACTCTGAAAATCAAAAGGAGCCAAACAAAAAACGTAATATTGTAAAGTAGATTCTGAATAAAATATTTTGTGTTTTGTAATTTTTGTGTTTTGTAATTTTTGTGTTTAGTTATTTAAAGCTGACCTATCTTTCATTCTGAAAATTAAGTCTTTATTTCAAGGTATAATGGTTGGACTAATCACTTACGTGGAGTTACCACAATGGATTAAACACGTTATTAGCAAGTCCAAAATGTTCTAGTTTTTATAGTTTTTATTTTTTTAAGTGCCATTTGACGATATCATTGAATTTTTATTGAATTGTTTCAAAATTTATTAGGTATTTAATAATATATTTATTATCATTTTAGAATATTCTAGGAATTTTCTATACAAGTTTATACACTATTTTAGTTCTCCTGTAAAAGTTACAAAATGTGACTGAACAGGTTTTTCCCGTGGACTCTTTATATGTTAACTCCTGAAATCCCACGATGGCTACAACAAATAATTAAAACGCTTCACGTCTTCTGATATTATGACGATATCTTATCTTCTTCTTCTTCTTCGCGTGCCATATCAGAACTATCCGACTTTGGCGATCACCATTGCGAAGGCTTCTCGATCTTCTGCAATATGGAATAATTGTCCTGCATTTTGTATCTGAGTCCATTCACGAATGTTTTTTAACCAAGAAACTTGTTTTCTTCCTACACCTCTACGGTCCTCTATTTTGCCTTTAAGGATCAGTTGTAAAATTTTATATCGACTTCCCCTTACTATATGTCTCAGATAACACATTTTTCGATGTTTAACACTCTTTAGCAGTTCTCTGTCTTGTTGACGCTCCTTAGAACTTCTTCATTAGTTTTTCTTGCTCTCCAAGGTATCTTCAGCATTTGTCTATGAACCCACATTTCCAATGCTTCCATTTTGTTCATGATCGATACTTTTAGCGTTCACACTTCTGCACTATA